TGGACTAGCTTTGGCTCTTCCTGCTGACTTGAATGGTGATGCTTTACATTTGTCAGTTGATGGCCTTTAATTTTTAACCAGAAATGTGCACGCTGCTTTTCTGATGTTCACTGAAGTTTTCCGTGTCTTTTCCCCGTGTCACTTGAAATGTTTCCGTTTTGAATCGTTGTTACCAAAGGCGAGACAAATGAGGAAAAAATAAACGATCAGTTGTGGGACTATATTCTGTCATAAATCGCACACCATTCATTGCTGAACTTTCTACAGTCCGTTACTGGAAATGAAATGAAATTACAGGTTGATATGTTCCGATCTCAATAAAGTTTACACACGCATTTGGTCCGTGAATTAAGCTAGATCTCGCCCGGGACGCGCGCTGTCTGTGGAGGTTTGGCCAGGACCGGTTCCAGAATTAAATCAAGATATTTTATGTTCCGTCCATTGCCAATCACTGCTATTTCAAGAGCTGTCATTCCCGAAACTTTGCAGGGTGTAGTCTATGTGTCCGAAAAACGAAAGTTTCATACAAATTCTGAATGGATTATACCCTAGAAAGTGCGCACTTCCCTTTATCACTACAAAGTGTCAGCATTCAAGAAATCAACAGATATCTGTGATTGGTTACATTGCTCAAAGCTGCAAAAACACGTTGAGGGTATTTAGCGCTTGGCTAAGCGGAGCCGACATCAGGAGCAATTGCAGCAGGCCGACATCAGGGATTCCATGACTAACAATTGACAAACAATGTCGCCCATGGCAGCAACTATATTATTCAAATTAGCAATCACAAATATTAATATAATTTTGTCATAGACGCACATATGTACTCTAGGTTGACCAGACGTCCCCATTTTCCGGGGATAGTCCCAGTTTTTGGTGGACCCCATTTTAAAAAAAGTTACACAAAGTTTCGAATGTTTAAAGTGTATGATGTTTATCCTTGAATCTGAATGTACAAATCGTCATTCATGTGTGAATCGCGTTGGATTTCTGTGTGTGTGTGTGTGTATTTTTGAGACTTCCTTGGCAGCGCTCTCCAGTTGTGCAGTTGATCGGTTCATTTCTGTGTTTACTGAAGTAAACAAATTAAGAGCTCAGTTTAAGCTATAGTTTATTAACTGACGTTTAGTCCACGTGTGAACATAAACATTTATTTTAAGTATTGATGGATTCTTATGTTTACTTATGCATACCACACAACGTTAGGATTTTAGACTCATAAACTCCATAGAAAGCATAACAATGGTTTGACTGAAGACAGATGTTTTATATAAATAGATGATTATGAAAATATAACGTTTTTGGATATTTTCCACACAGTTCCTTGTAGTATTATTTATTGAGGATAGGAAAGAGCAGTCACAACAGTGTCTTTGCACCTGTATGTCATGTCCTGTCCACCACACATTCAACTGATGATGATAATGTTGTTGTTATTGGTTATTGGTAATTGATGTGCATACATTGGAGACCTTGTACGTTTCATCTATGTTTTTTTTATTAAGCTGCATATATACACTGAGCAAAATTATAAACGCAACACTTTTGTTTTTGCCCCCATTTTTCATGAGGTGAACTCAAAGATCTAAGACTTTTTCTATGTACACAAAAGGCCTATTTCTCTCAAATATTTTTCACAAATCTGTCTAAATAAGCACTTCTCACTTCACTTTCTCACACTCCTCACAGGTGTGGCATATCAAGATAGACAGCATGATTATTGCACAGGTGTGCCTTAGGCTGGCCACAATAAAAGGCCACTCTAAAATGTGCAGTTTTAC